CTCCGACACTCTAAAGGAAAATGTCCTAGCTTGTCCAACCTCTCCCTATAACTCAGTTTCTTGAGTTCTGGCAACATCCTTGTAAATTTCCTCTGCACTCTTTCCAGTTTAATAACATCCTTCCTATAACAAGGTGACCAAAACTGAACACAATACTCCAAGTGCAGCCTCACCAACGTCCTGTACAACTGCAACATTACTTCCCAATTTCTATACTCAATGCCCTGACTGATGAAGGCCAGTATGCCAAAAGCCTTCTTCACTGCCCTGTTCCTGTACACTACTTGAAGCCCTGCCATTCACCATGAAACTCCTGAAGTCAACTACAGTCTGAGAGAAGACATCATTTTGAAGCTGGCTCGTTGAACCTGGTCAGTTCCTTAAATTTGAAGTGTGTTATTTTCAGAGAATTCGCATGTTGTTTATTACCACTCACAGAGACTGAGAAAGAAACAGACTTGTTTTTGCTAGCAAGCTTTCTGGAGATCTGAGTTCAAATCCCTTCTTAGGTCTGGGAAATGTTGGCACTTAAAAATCCAAAAGTTTGTTGCAGCTTTTAACGAAAAAGGCATGTGGTATGATCTTTGTATTAAATCCAGCATCTCCAAAGGTTGCATGGCCTTCTGTAACCAATAATAGAACATCACACATTTCCATTTAAAAGTTTCAAGTTTTGGACAAAAACAGGCCTTGCACATTCCTTGCAGCACAGTAATGTCCAAACTTCTGTTTATCCCAGTTCATATTCAAAACAAATATGTAATCTTTACAAAATAATGCTCTGCATCTGCAAGGGGCATGCACTGTGTTAGTCCTCCATTAATGGCAGCCTCATTGTTTCAATCCAGCAAATAGCAGAGCAACTGAAATGTGCCATCAGATGTAAAAATAATTCGAGTTACTTTGTATCACTCCATTGACAGATTCACCTGAGCCTTTCAAGGTGTGTCCCACTCACCATTGAAGACAATGGCAGAGAGTAATTCTTAATCAAAAAGTAAGAGGAGTTATATACAAGGTTTAGGAAAGTGAAGGCAGAGTTCTTGAAGAATACACAGAAAGCAGGGAAGATCTCAAACAAGACGTTAGGAGGCTAAAAGGGACAATGAAATGTCCTTGACAAACAGCATT